ACGCGGTTGTTGAAGGAATTATAGCAAATGAGGCAGTTGTTGTCTATTTCACGATGAAAGCGTTTGCGATGACCGTAGCTAGGTGGGATGTTATGTGGATCTATATGCCAGATAATTGAGTCGATACTGTTTTTGAATTTATATTTTTGAATAAGGTCGCTGCGTAAACGTCTATTTAATAGAGAGGTGAGACCGAGTTTGATGCATCTTGTCTCGTAATCGAAGCGCTTTATTTCGTGCGGTAATTTGGTAACCCGATGCTGAACACGTTCTATGACATTTATGTCGTTTTCAAGATGCGGGCACCAGGCAGTAACTGCAAACTCGAGATGTGGGCGTATATAAGTGGTGTAAAGTTTTTTTCATTTTGGTATCTTTGCTTATAAACGTGTTTTTCAATGTCCCGAGGACTTGATTAGCCTTGGCAGCGGCTATTTGTGCTTGCCTCTCATATTTTAAGTCGTTGGAAATTTGAATGCCTAGATCTTTTTCGGATGTTGAAGACTCGATTACTGTTCAAGTGACGCTACCGTTAGCGTTGTACTCGTTCATTAAATAAATGCGTGGGGAAACATTGTACTTACTTAAATGCATGACTTTGCATTTCTTGATGTTGAGTTTCATTAACCAGGTTCGAGTCCAGGTAACAATGCTATCTATATCGGATTGCAGACGAGCTTTGTCTTCAGTGGTTTTGACGACACTCAAGATTTTAGTATCGTCTGCATACATTTTACATAAGTTTTCGCTACTGATGTGTTCGGGTAAGTCGCTATTAAATATTATGAACAGCGTAGGACCTAGCACTGAACCTTGTGGAACGCCACTGGTAACCTTTACTAAGGTGGATGACGTATTACCTAATATGACACGCTGTGATCTATTTGAAAGGAAAGCTTTTATCCAGTTAAGAACTAAATCTAAGTTTTAAATCAGCTTTTTATTTAATTGGTTACTTGTTAATTAAATAATTTATAACTTAAGTAATTTTTTTTTAAACAAACGATTTTTGACTTTTATATATAATTTGCAAATGCTTTTATTTTCTATTTACATTTTCTTTCTTCTTTTTTTTTTCTTTTTCCTATCAACTGATAAATAGACACATCTGCCATTTGCGAACACCTTGTAAAGGTATGTATATATATATATATATATATATATATATATATATATATATATATATACCATCATAAAGTAGTATTTTTTCCTTTAGTTAAACTTATATTTTTAGTAAGGTTAAATTTTATTTTTTGTTGAAACGGTAAACTAAATGTAACTAAAAGAAAATTGTAACCTCTTATCCAAACGCTAAAATTTGGTATAAATTGAACAGTTATCAATGCGAGCCAAGTGAAGAAACTTAAAACAGCTATTCTCATTTTGTAAAACTCCTATCAGATTTTTTGAAATCATGTTGTAAATTTTATCCAAACAAAAAAAATCTTGATCTAAACGTTAAAATTAATTAACACAAGTTTTATTTCAAAAACAATAGGCCTTGTCACTGACAAAGACACAAAAACTGTTTTGTTCATTTTGCCTGGCATTTATCAAAGCCTCAGATCAATCAAGGTTCTTTAGTAGATATAACTTTAAAATTACATTTATCAAAGAATATCAGAACATAGAAGCCGTGCTTTCCATGCAGCCAGCACAAAATCATATGTTTTAAAAATCAATGCCAAAGATGTTAAAAGCACTTCTACGCGCCGACATAACTTTTAAAGTTTCTATGATTTTAGAAAAAATTATAGAAACTTTAAAAGTTTTTTGATAAGAGTGTATTTAGCTACAGAGGTGTAGAAGAGTCTAGGTTCACATTGCTTGATGGCAGTGTAAACTATGAGATTTTTTTAGATATTCTTTTGCTTGTTGGAAAATTTAATGCGTTGTTGGAAGCACGTATCAAAGAGATGGTTAGAAAAAGCGATTTCTGGCATGGTTCAGTTGACAATAGAAGAGGCCGTATCAAAAATAATGTTCTATTGTGATCCGATATGTTTAAGAAGCTGTACATAAATGTGTAATATCGATAGTCAATTGCACATCAACAACTGGAAAAGGAATGTGTGATTTGGTTTGTAGCGTTTTTGAAAAGGAAGGCATTTATATAAGTAAATGTATTGGCAATTCAACCGATGGAGCCTCCAATATGCAAGGTCAATACAATGGATTCAACACCTGGTTAAATAGAGTCTTTCCGAGTCAGATTTGTGTATGGTGTTATGTGCATGTCTTAAATTTAAAAATGGGTGACGTTATTAAAAAAGTGGTTAAAGTTGTTACCTTATTTTGTGTTTTAAACACATATGCAGTATTTTTATTATAATCATACTTACGCTTCGATGTTTGGCATAAATTTAGCAAATTCAAATATATATTTGTAATCGATGAAACCCGCTGGAGGGGAAAAATTGAGCTATTACTAAGATATTTGGAAATTTCTTCATCAAAACCTCCAATCAAGAAACACAAGTTATTAATTATTTGTACATTGACATGTTACAAGTATATCATGATATTTATACATCAATTAAATTCAATAATGATGTCCGTTACTGAGCAAAAGTTCTTTTAGATTCCTTGACTTTATTTTGTTTTTGAATTTATTTTGACGCAAAATGGTTTTTGAAAGTGTTTTTTGTTGAAAATCAACGCCGTCATCTAAATATTGCAAACAATTGGAATGGATATAATACAAAAATACGGATTTGAAGTTCAGACTGGTTTGAAAGAGAAAAGTATTTGAGCTAACAAACTACTTGAAAGTGCGAAAGATAAATTTCGCGTCAATTTTCACAACATTGTCATAATTCAAATAATTAGTAGTTTAAAACAGAGATTATCTGAGCATGGTATATGTTGATTTATTTTGTTTAGATCTAAGAAATTTTGAAGAAATTTTTGAAAAAATGCCTAGTGACGAATTGCAGCAGCTCAGTGGGTTGCTCAGAAAATTTGATGCTTGTGTAACATTTGACCAGCTTCAAACGGAATTGTTGTACTTTGCAAGGAAATATTTCGAAACATCTCTTGAAGATGAGTATAATTTGCTATTTGACACGGAAGTATCTAACTCTGTCTTGGAAAAAATCTGAAAATCTAAATCCGTAGTATTTGAAATTGTCTTTAGAATCCCAGCAGTAGAAAACAGCGAAAAAAATAAATGCAAAATTTGAAAAAAATGTATTATTTTTTGTTACTTTGTACTGCAGAAGTTCAACTTGCATTATCTTACTGATTCAAATTTGTTACTGGTATACTAATTTGTGTTGACATTATCCTGGTAACAAGTTGCATGTGAAAGGTCATTTTCAAAATTAAATATATTTTGAACAGATTAAGGAATTTAATAAGACACTCAAATCAATCATGCTAATATCTTGTAATATCTTATGAAAATGACCTTCTTACAAGAATTGATAACAATGCAATCATTGATGTTTTGGCATCGACTAGTCAAACGATGAAAAAGTTACTATACTAGTCAATAGTGAATAGCAATTGTGTCTACTATTTAAAGGCTTCAACTTACAGCAGTGTTTTAGAAATATTTGTTTTTTATCAATATTTATGTTGAGAAGAAAAAAAAAATTTTTTGTACATAAAATAACAATAATAAATGAAACATAAGATGAGGTGGCCCGGCATTACCAAGTTTCCCGGGCCGTTCTTTTAAGCCAGTCCGACCCTGTATATATATATATATATATATATATATTTATATATATATATATATATATATATATATATATATATATATATATATATATATATATATATATATATATATATATATACATATATATATATATATATATATATATATATATATATATATATATATATATATATATGTATATATATATATATATATATATATATATATATATAGTATATATATATATATATACATATATATATATATATATATATATATATATATATATATATATATATATATATATATATATATATATATATATATATATTTATATATTTTCCTGTACCCACCGCTGGGTAAACACACTTATATTTAGAACGCTATATTTTTGGTTATAACAATTATTGCGCTGATTGTTACGTTTTAAAATTGTTTAAACAATTTTAAAAAAAATGTTTACTAGTATTCCATACATTCAAGGTATATGACTAAAGGTAAAGATGAGTTTGTATCACTAATAAAGTCTAATCTAAATTTAGATAAGTTAATTTTTAATGAGTTTAAGGTTATGTTCAAGTCATTAAAATGAAATAAAGCAATTGGATATGATTATTAGTATAAAATATATTATAAGTGCATCAAAATCATTTGCAAAAAATAAACCAAGAAGAAAGCTTTTACAAAATATTGTTTGTAAAATTATTAGCATTATAATTAGCAACAGTTTTTCGTAAAAGCTTTCTTCTTTCTTTTTTTTTTTGCAAATTCATCTATAAATTTATTCGTATTAATGTGATTAAGGATAATTTTTTCTATATACATTATCGTTATTTCGTTTAATCTATCTTCCCCCATATTGCTTCATAAGTAATTTTTTACACTTTTCAGGACCGAGAATAGTCTTTCTCCTGATGATTTGCTACAGGGAGAAGAAATAGGGCAGCCTTCCACCAAGATAATTTGCATTTTGTACTAATATTTTTATGTACATTTTTATTTTATTACTATTTTTCAATATTTTTCACGGCTCACATTGCCACAGAATCTGTTTAATGATTTTTTTATGATTTTAATGATTTTTTGTTTTATTATTTTATTTAAAAACTTTTTGGCTATCTGCTAAACTTTCGTTTCTAAAACATGCTTTCAAAATAAACTTTTATTCATAAAATAGTTACTTTAAGATCTCAAAGTAGAAACATTGTCATTGCTCCCAATTGTTGATCTTCAGACCATAATGTAATGTAAACTTATAATATATACTATACTAATACTACATGCACTTTTACTGTATTGTTTTTCTCATTTAATGTTATGTTTTATTTCATTTCAGAAGTAATAAATATGGCAAGTCCATCAAAAAAATCCAAAGTAGGTATGTAATGAAAAAAGTAGGTAGTGTAATGAAATAACAATCATGGTATTTATCCTGATGATCATGCTGATAATTATCAAGATTATGTTTATGATCATGATGATCATCGTGATAATCATAATGTCATTACAAAGCTTTGAATTTTTTATTCATTTAGATCTGTCAGAGATTCGTAATGCACTGAAAACATTTTATAAAAATAATTTTGAGAAAGTTCCTGAACTACAACCGCCGTTAACAACACCCATCAAGGTAAATGTTTTAAAAAAGTTTGTGGATCTTAACATTGTTGATGGAGTTCATGTCCGGAAAGATGCTCACATTGCTAATCGTGAACAGTATTGTAGTAAACAAAGCAGTTATGTACCTATCCAGTATGATGAGTTATTTAAGGAAGTAGCATCTTTAACCTTGATTACAGGAATTGCTGGAATCGGAAAGACATGGCTACTACGAAAACTATTGATCGATTGGTCAAATGATACAATTTTAAAAAATGTTGATCTTGTGTTCTATTTGGAGTGCAGAAAGCTTAATAAATGCCAAAGTATTTTTAAAATAAGAGATTTGCTAGAACATTTTTATGGAGATATTTTACACAATTTTAAAATTTCTTATAACTCAATAATGTTTATAATTGATGGTTTAGATGAACTTAAATACTTTGATGATATAATAAAACACGAGTCCAATAAATCTTCTTCCTCAGATTTTTTGACCTCAGAAAAATTTACTCAAGTGTTGACTAAAATATTAAAACACAAAGCAATTGTTGCAGGGAGATTAGATGTTATATGGAGATATGAAAGTATAAATACTGAAGAAAATAGTAAGTTACTACAAGTAATGGGTTTCAATCAAAATGGAGTAAATCATTATATAGAAAGAAATGTGTGTGATAAAGCAAAAGAAAGTATCAAAAGAATTCTTAACGATTCCCGTATTGCAAAAGAAATGTCATCTGTGCCATTTTTTTTATCTTCTCTTTCTAAAATTTTGGAACTGAAGAAAAGTGGTCATTATACTGTATTAACCATGACAGACTTATATGCTAGTATTTTTTTTTACTTCTGGCAAAAACATATCGACAAAAGCAATGAACCAGTTTATAAGATAATGGAAAATGATAATACAAAACAAAAAGTTTTTAACCTTTGTAAAGTTGCATATTATTTGTTCACAGAAAATAAGTTAACTTTTACGCAGGAAGAAATTATGAAGAGTTTTGAAAATTCTTTTGATAAGGTGTTAAAGGATTTATCTTTTCAAATTAGTTTTAAAAATTCTTTTAATCAGTTTAATGGTTTCATTGAAGGCATTGAAACAAATTTTGGTTATCGCTATCAGTTTGTTCATTTTACATTCTTGAATTTTTGTGCCTCTGTGTATATGTTTAATAATTGGAACTATAAAGAGATTACTACGAAATTGTACAAATTGTTACCCATTATATCTGGATTGTGTAATAAAAATAAAGAAAGTTTTATACGATTCTTAGCTAACTTAAAAAACAGAAGTATCATATCTTTAATTCCCCAGATTTCAAATTTAAAAATAGAAGTATTATTAAATATGTTAGGTGAGTTTTATATATCTAGAGTGATTATCTTTTATATCCTAAGTTATATCCTAATTATCTTTGGTTATATTTTATTTATCTTTAGTTATATCCTACTTACATTTAGTTATATCAAAAAAAATTATTTTTAGTTCTTATTACTTTTACTCTCATAAAGAAAATGAAATATCAATGAAAATTTAAAAATTAGTAATTTAAAAAGTATTTGTAACCTTATAAATAAAGTAATAACAACTAAGTTATACAGTCTTAGGTATAATATATTAATTTTCATAGTTTGACATCTTCATATTTTTTTCTCTTACAATAGGTAAACAAATACATAATTTTATACCTAGTAAAATAATTCAGAATAAATGGAAATAAATGAAAATTAAAAAAAAAATGTCACAACGAAAATAAAAAAAAATGTGTCATACATTTTTTACTTTTTTAAAATTTTTTCTTTAATATTCTACACTTGCGTGTATTAGTTGGGCAGGTTTTCATAATGCCCTTTTTTAAACTTATATTTGACTTGAAAAAGGAATTTGTTACGTTTTTATTTTTTAGTGACTTTTTAGTGACTTTTTAGTGACTTTATAAACAGCTTTGCACAGATTTAAATACTTTTTATGATTTTTTTCAGAGTAATTATACTTTAGTATAATATCATAATATAATTTAGTATAATTTAGTATAATTTATACTTTAGTATAATTTAGTATAATATAGTATTTTTAGTATAATTACTCTGAAAAAAATCACAAAATTTAAATATATGCAAAGTTGTTTATAAAAAGTGAAAAAAAAAATGTTTCTCAATTTTATAAGTTTTTTGATTGAAAAAACATGTACACGAAAGTAATTATGTAATACGACTGTACTATAAAATGACAACAATTGAAAATTGAAGTGATACAAGGTTCGTGTTTCAAACATTTCATTTGAAACCAGGTAAAGATAAGTTAAAAACAATTTTTCAAATTTTTCTTTAAGTATTAACTTAAAAAAAAATCATTAATACAAGTAAAGTTTTTGATATGAAAATAATCAAAAAGAATTTTACATTAGAGTAACAAATTTTTAAATATGTTTTTAAATATGAATTTGGTAAATTTTAGTTTTGAGGACCTATATTTTTTTTTTTAAAAGCTAGTTGGTACTTTTAAGGTTTCACTTCCCCCCCCCCTCCCCTCATTTTATTTATAGAATAATTGTGCATATTTTGCTAATATGCACAATTCCAAATAGCAATGTTTGTTTATAATGAAATTATTATTGTAAACGTTAAGTTTGATATATGTTATTTTTTAGATATTGTAGATAAGTTGGGGTATTTTTATAAACATGTTTTATCTCAATAATAATAGTACATCTCGTATGATTTTACAGTTTTATAAGAGGATCCATAAAGTAAGTATGGCACATTCTAAATGAACTCGTAAAGCTGCTAATGTTTGACTTTCTACAACTTCTTTAGAAAATAGTTGATTTCTTACATTTAAAAAGACTGGAATGTTAGGTGTTACAAAAAAAGGTTTAAGTAAATCATTTATTAAAAAATTTTTATCAATCGTTACAGAATCTCCACTCTCCTAAAGCTCTTTATTCAAAAGTTCTGATTGCTTAACTATTTCGATATCAGAAAAAGAACTACCAAGTTCTTGTAGTTCACTAACAAAATGCTAATGCATCAGAAAAAGCAATTCCAACTAATCTTTTAAAGATAAATGATGGAAACTGCCTCGAATTGTAAGACTTAATTGTTTTTGACAAACCAACTCAATAAAGTCAATAGTAACTTTTATTTTAGAATAAGTGTCTTTGAAACATAACGGCATGTTAAGTTTTAGGTAATTTAATTTAGGTCAAAATATTATTGCACAAGGTATATCAAATTTGACCATATAATAAGATCTTTACACAGTAGATTTTGGTGTCTTAAATAACCAGAATATAAAATTTAATAAAAATATTAAATTTTATATTCTTATTTTTTATTTTATTATTTAAATAAAAAAAAATCTAAGCCATGTTAAAAACATGAATAGTTAGTCAATTTATTTCATGTTTGACCTATATTCAGATTCTGTTGTAAAATATAAATGGTATGTGAATAATTTTTCCGGTAACTTTTGCTCAATGATGTTAAAGGTAAAAATACTTTATATTTTTACTTTCATTTCTAGGAATATTGAATTTAAATATTCAAATAAAATTTTTAATTTTTCTAATGAACAAGTTAAAATATTTAGTTTTTTTTTTTTTTTGTAGCTAAAAATATTAATTTTTACCAGGTCGTTGATTATTCTTAAATTTTTATATTCTTCAAGCACCTACATTAGCTTTCACAAACTAATACTAATCTTTTTAATGTGATTGTTTTTTACGGATGACAGCAGTATACAGTTTTCACAATTTTCAATATTTGTGAAACCAGTAATTTATAAAGTCTTATTTAATTATTTTGTTACATTAAGCTTTGTGAACGTTGTGTTTTTTTTTCTTGGTTTGCGAAAGAAACATGACCAATTTTAATCTTTTCCATATTGTTATTATAAAATGAATTTTCACACAATAATATACCACAATACTTTCCTCAGCAACCTTTTTTCACCTTTTTTCGTGAAAAAAGAGTTGGAATAAGACATTTTTGTTTAGGAGTGAAACTATGAATTTAGTTTGTTTACATTTTTCTCTTTTTTTTGAAGTTGAGAGATCAGTTGTCTAATCGAATTAGAGAAATGTCTATTATAATTTTCAGCAAATACGCGCTTTCCTTTCTTTCAAAATCAGCGAATCAGACTGCTTATATTTCTGCTTATTCTGAGCTTGTTTAGGGAATCAAAATATGGATTCGGCAAAACGTAGAGATGAGCTACATTAACACTTTCATAATAAAAAAATGTTTTTTATAGTAAAAGAAACAATATTTTAAGCAGCCATAGTAAAATTGATTCATTGAAAAATTTAAGTCGTGCTGCGGCCTGCCCTAATGTATATATATTTACTATATTCAATTAAAAATAAATTGTTTTAAAAACTTCATGCTTTTTGAATTGATTATGATAAAAAAGATACGTTGGCGTTACCTTGTAGTTTATATATAGCCGTTGTTGTAAATCAATATTAGGTAAATATATCAAAATAAGGACATTTTATATTGTTGCAATTTTAATAACGATATTTAGTCAACCGTGAGATAAATATGGTACCAATAATGCACCAATGTTGCGTGATATCAATAAGGCACCAAATAAACCAATGTAATAATAATGCATCAATGTATCGCACCAATGTATAACTATAATACCAATTGTATAATACCAATAATGGTTTTTTTATTTTTTTATTTTATCATTTATTTATTTTGCTGTTGATAAATATTACAAAAAAGAAATTACAATAAAAGAAAATCCTGGCCGGAGCAAGAAGAAGACAGGTTGTCTTATCACCGAGCCCCGTCACACAAAAATTTACATGCACAATAAATGATAAAAGACAAAAAGACAGTATGAATACAAAAACAAAACAAAAACTTCAGCAATAAAATAATTTGTTATTAACAATCTTCCAGCAGAATAATTTTAAAAATAAAAAAGTAAAAAGGCCAGAAAATCATGATAGTTATAAAAACAAAACAAAAATGCGTTGTTTAATTAAAAAAAAAGAAGCAATATATGTAAACATAAGTATTTGGGCTGATTAATTAATATCATCAAAAATATGAACGAAAAAGACAATTTTATTTTCGTTATCTTTTATACTAATGGTTTGAAAACATTTTAATAAAAGCTAAAGAAAGTGTTAAAGATTTAATTTATTTTTAAGTGATTTAGTTTAAACCTTTAAATTGTTTTCAAAAAAGTTATTTGAAATCTAATATATCGAATTCCATGTTTAGTAAATGCCGTTTTGATTCATCCTTAAAACTTTGCAAAGCTCAGTTTAAAACGAAGTTTTGATTTTTACTAAAGATTGTAAGAAATTTTTTCTAAACTAAAGGTCCCCGATATTGAATTTGGTACGAACTTAAGTTCGTACCAAATTAAGAAAGTTTATGGAAACCACAAAGTTGTTCACTGAAAATTTGGTTGAATATTCATGGGAGATTTCATTAAAGTAGGGTTTAAATGTTACTGGAGAAAACCCAAGTTTTGCTTTAAATATAAATAACATTACTTGATGAATATATAAGCTTATAAATATTTAAAGCTCCAAGCTGGCATAAAAGAGGTTCGTATCGTGTTTTTCTTTTTGCCTCAAAAACTATCATGCAAGCATGTTTTTGTTTACTATAAATTTTTTTGAGTTTAGTGTGATTAGTGCTACCCCAGGAAATGTTACAGTATGAAAGATAGCTGTGTATAATTGAAAAATATAAATTTTTTAAAAACTCGTTATTTAGAAAAGGTTTTGTTCGGTATAACATGGCAATATTTTTCGAGAACATACCTTCAATATATTCAATATGAAATTTCCATGACAATTTTTCATCTAAGAGCACTCCCAAAAAGTTTGTAGTTAAATCCCTTTTAATTACTTTATTATTGATTAAAAGATTGGGTAGTTTAAGAGGAATATTCTTGGCTTTACTAAGTTTATGGAATAGGATAAATTTTGTTTTCTCTACATTTAATGATAATCGGTTGCTTATAAACCACTCGTTGATCTTATCTAAGTCTTTGTTTAATATCTTAAAAAGAACAGTAATATCTTTGTGAGAATAAAACAAATTAGTGTCATCTGCAAATAACATAGTATTTAATACTTTTGATGATAAATATAAGTCATTTATATAAAGTAAGAACAATAATGGTCCCAAAATAGAACCTTAGGTTACTCCACAAGTTATTAAGTTGTTTTTCGAGTCTTTTGATTCTTTAAGTATAAATTGCTTTCTGTTAGTTATGTATGATTTAAACCAAAGTAAACTCTGATTTTTAACACCATAGTTTTCTAATTTTTTCAAATGAGTTTTATGATTTACTGTGTCGAAAGCTTTGAATAAATCAATAAAAACCCCTATTGTATAGCAATCACTATTAAATCCATTTGATATATGCTTAATCAATTCAATTATTGCATGGTCAGTAGTATGATTTTTTTTTAAAACCGTATTGGTTATTATATAAAATCTTATTTTCAGATAGATATTTATAAGGCTGTTGTACATAATGCGTTCAATTAGTTTAGAAAAGCAGGGTAACACAGAGATTGGTCTGTAGTTTGAAATATTGGTCTCATTGCCAGATTTGAAAATAGGTGTTATTTTTGCAATTTTTAGTTTATCTGGAATATGACCTGATTTAAGGGAGAGATTAAAAATATGGAATAATGAGGGTTCGATAATATCAAAAACAGATTTAATTACATTAACATTAATTTGATCTATACCTGCACTTTTATTTTTTTTCAGACTATTAAAAGCAGTATGTAGTTCACTTTTGGTTAAAATCGGTTCTTCCATAATTAAATCAGTTGTTGCAAGATATGAATCAAATTTTTTTTGACCAACTGGAATTTTCGCTGCTAGGTTTGGGCCAACATCAAGAAAAAAATTGTTTAATTTCTCAATAAAAACTTCTTTATGATAAATTATTTTTCCCTCAATAATAAGTTTTTGGGGTAAGTTATTTTTTTCAATTTTATTTTTCCCAATTAAGTCTCTAATAACACTCCGTGTTTTTTGAGGGTTTCCTTTGTTTTTTTCAAGCAGTTTAGCATAGTAATTTACTTTTGATCGTTTTTTAGGTTTTTCAAATAAATTTTTATAATTTTTGTAGTTAGTTTCATTTTTATAAGTTTTATTTTTTAAATATTTATCATACAATTTTTGTTTTTACCTTGATGATTTTAGTAGGCCTTTGGTCATCCATAGGAATACAACCGACTTTGAGTTATTACTTTCCCTTTTAAAGGAAATGCCTTATCATACATTTTAGAAAATTGGTTTAGAAATAAATCATAAGCATTATTTACATCGTGTGATTCCAGTACAAAATTCCAATCGACGTAATTATTTAATAAATTTTTAAATTGGCATATGGAACTTTCATTGATTTGTCATGAATACTGTTGATTTGTGGGTAGCATTATTTAGAATAACGCTCTCAGTAATAAGGAATATAGGGAAATGATCAGTTAAATCAGTCTTGATTATACCAGTTTTAAAACGGCTATTATGAAAATTGTTAGTTATAACATTATATAATAATGTCGATGATATTTTAGTTACTCTTGTTGCTTTGTTTATAGTTGGATAAGGTTGTATTCAAGAAGAATATCAATAAAAGTTTTTGCTTCACTATTTAAGGCATGGTTGAGTAAGTCAATGTTGATATCTCCAACTACGTAAACATACTTTAGCAATATATTTTTTCTGTGTTTAGAAATGTGCGCAGACAAGTTTTGAATGTTTTTAAACTACCAGCTGGCGTTCTATAAATAGTATTGATTATGAAATTTTTAGCTAATTTATTTATTATCTAAACGCATAATACCTCACTATCTGTATTGTTTACATTAAGATCTTTTGAATCAAATCAATAGAATTGTGAACGTATAAGCTTATACCACCACCAACGCAAATATCGCGCATTTAATGAACTGATGTATAGTTTCTTAACTCAAAATTAGAATTTGTTTCATTGCTTTTAAGCCAAGTTTCTGTGAAAAAAATTATTTTAAAATCATGATTAAGTTCTCCCAATAAACACTTAAAGTTCTCGAAGTTTTTATTCATACTTCGAATATTAATATGCAATATTGAAAATTTATTCTTATTCTCACAGAGATATTGAGTAGATTCAGGTATTGAATAGTACTCACTTTCTAAAAATATTTCAGTATAATTATCAGAGTTATTATCGCTAAAAACAATATTTTTAGCATTAATACTATAAGAGAGATTGTTTTCCATTTCTAAAAGTCAAATTAATATTTGAAAAATTATTGATATATAAAAAATGAAAATAAAGTATCGTTGAAAGAAATATAAAATATTTACGTTGCTTTTCAAGACCATTTGTGAACCACCAACGTATGAAATATACGCAAACATTCCAGCTTCTCGTGCTTTTTTCATGCCCGCCCGTAATTCTTTTCTAATTAGCATCGTCTCCGCACAATAATCCTCATTGATAAAGTTATTTTCCCCTTTCAATTTCCGACAGTTTTTCAGAATGTTTTCCTTGTCTTTATAACTGAGCAATTTCAAAACTATGGATCTGACTTTTTTATTGTATCTAGAACCAGTTCTATGAGCCCTTTCTATTTTTATATCTTTCAACCCAAGAGTTTCTTCAAATAATTTAAACACTTTAGCCTCACTATCACTCCAACTTTCATTTTTGCTTTCCTTTACACCATCGACTCTCAGATTGTTGCTCCTGGATCTATCTTCTATTTCTCTAAGCTTACTTTTTACTTTTATTATCTCGCTGTTGTCTTTTAGCTTTGAACTTATCTCTTTTGTTTTTGATTTCACAAGTTCAAATTTTTCTGAAGCAATATCGTCATTGGTTTGAATAAATTTTTTTATTTCAAGTAAATCATTTTCTAAGGAGACGACTTTTTAATTTGTTTGTTCTAAATCATTTTCGAATTTATTTATTTTTTATATTTTCTTTTTCATACTTGTCAAGTCTCTCAGTGAACATTTTCAAGTTCGCAGCTGTTAAAGACACAAAGCTTTTCTCTTGTTTTTTCAAAAGTTTTTTGGTTTCATCTAAGTTTGCATTGCTTTGTTTTTCAAGTAAATCTGCAACAAATTTCTCAATCCTTTCTAAATCCATATTATTATGTTAGTCAAATAAAAATCTTATTAAAGTTTTAATATTACTTTTGTTATTTTGGTATTTTGCTTAACAATGATTAACAATGATTAACAATGAAACATTTGAAATAAACAAACAATTAAAACAAAAATAAAAATCCATGATTAACAATGCATAATTCCAATAAGACACCAATGTTACTAGCAGGGGTGTGGAGTCGTAAAAAAAAGCTACGACTCTGACTCCAGTTGTTGAAATTTTTTGAGTAAAATTCCGACTCCAACTCCAAAGCAAAATTTTCGAAAAATTCTTTGAACTTTTAAAAAAATATTATGCGATAAGTTAAAAAAAAGTTTTTTGACAAATTTATGACACGTTCTTTGAGGCTTAGAATAAATATAAGGTTAATTGAATGTTTTATACATGCGCGTGCAATACCGAGAAGTTTTGCTATTGGCGATTTTGTTTATCGATTCCGACTCCGCTAAAAATGTTTCATATTGATGATCAAAAATATTTTCTGAAGATGTCTATCGCTTTCTTAAAGCTTGTTTTAATGTAGGCTTTCTTTAAGCTTGTTCTAATGTCCTACCTTGTATTCTTACAAAATTTTACTTTATTGAACTTTAGTCTCACAGTTACCCAGTGGGCACCCGACGTCAATCCGACGTCGGATTTGCGTACGATTTTCATCAGCGATGTCAAAAGACCTATTCCGACGTTGTTCCGATGTCAGTAAAATGACGTCGGGCGTTGTCTTTATCTCAACATCCCCTGACGTCGTTTCAATGTATTTTGACGTTGTTCCGACATCTTATAAAAGACGTCCAAAAAACGTCGCAGTACTGACATCGATCCAACGTCGATAAAAAGACGTCGAGCAACGTCATAATATTAACGTACTCCGATGTCTTTTGACGTCTTCCGACGTCAATCCAACGTCCTCAAAACGACGTCGGAACAACGTCGTAAGACATCGCTGATGAAAATTTAATCCAAACCCAACAATATGTGTGCAATTGCGCTCTTCAATAAATATGTGAACTAAGCGTGTTTTTTTTTAATGGAAAGAAGTTTGAATAATGGTTGATAAAACATCATGAGGTTTTGTATGATGCACTAGCATAGTTTTTTAACTATTAACATTTTCGAGTATACATTTTTATAATATATAACTATTCGTTTTAATATTTATATAATATTTAAACAAAATTATTTCTTATCAAAGTAATAATTCCCAAATAGCTTCAAGTATAGATTACTAAATATACACATGGAGTAATATGTCCTTATAGTGTAGTGGTAAGCGCGTAGGATTTAGTATATAATAGACCGAGGTTCGATTCCTACATTAGGCAACGTTTTTTAGTTTTCAAAAAACACGTTGGATTTACATCGGAATGCCGACGTCGCGCGATGTCAGTTTATCCGACGTCAAATAACATTTCCATTTCCAACGTAAACCCAACGTCGATCCGACGTCTAGATCCGACGTCGCTCGACGTTCGTTCGACGTCGAAATGCCCATTGGGTAAGTTTGAAAAAAATGGAAACCTACTATTTTAAATAATAAAAAATTGATGTATCAAAAATTGAATTTTACTAAAACACCCAATAGGTGAGTATAAGATGTAGAAAATCAAAAAATCTTCCGATGTTACACATGAATCGTTTTTAGCAAAAACTAACTACACAAGTTAAGCGAAATTGTAAAATGGCCTCAGAATGACCGTAGACTTCAGAGTGGCCATAAACTAGCCATTCTAGCTATTGCAGCGTTGTCGTAAACTTGAACTAAAAATTTCCCTCTCCTTGACTACGAGCTATAATTAATGTATAGTATCATAACGACGGTTGCTTTCACAGTTGTAATTAACCTAAATTTTAACATATAAAATTTTATTTTATTTTTTTTTAATTTTATTTTATTTTTTTATGTAATTTAAGATTTTGCAATGCTTTACAAAATATTAAGTACAATAATATTTATTTAGATTTCAAAAATGTTTCTTGCTTGAACATCGTAAGCCTTAACAAAGTAATCAAGGCATGTCTTTATGAATCTCAAGCAACAAATGCAGATATCAAAGAAATTGATGAGAAGTTATGCCAGGTTTTGATACCAAAAAAAACAAATTATGAAGTTACTTGTGAAAGGTATTTTTTAGAGCACTTTATAAGTTTCAGGAAAAAGTTAAAGCGTTTAACTGTTGGCAGTATTTTTGATAACATAACAGAGTTAACAAAACGTGAAGAAAAATTATTGACAAAATGTTTAACAAATGTTATTAAGGTGGCGCTTTATGATCCATTTAAAATTAATAATTGGAAAGCAATCAATAAAATCGAATCTTTATGCATCACATGTTTTGAAGAAATATCAAAAGAAAAATTTCAAAATTATCTCCCTTGGTTTAGTAATTGTAACAACCTAACTATTATTCTTCATAATGATATTGATTTCTTAGAAGATATATATTGGTGGATTCAAACTTTTTCTTTCAAAAGCTTAGAAATAAAATATCGTGAACATATTTTCCGAAATCCCAATGAATTTAAAGGCTTTTTATATATGACGCCAAAAAATAAATTTATAAAATGAGTTTTGATTATGGTGAAAGTTTTTTTTTTTTTATGAAGTTATATCTAGTTCTGGAATTCCTTTTTGTGATTTATATAACTAATCAAAGTTTTAAAATTTTCTTGGCTTAATATTAAATAACAATTTTTTATCACTGTAAATAGTATTATACGGCAAATTAAATAAAAAAATATATATATAAATAATTTAAATATAAATATAAAATTTTTTGCAAAGCTATATACTTTTTAGTTTTATAAAGTTGTGATTTATATATATATATATATATATATATATTTATATATATATATATATATATATATATATATATATATATATATATATATTATATATATATATATATATATATATATATATATATATATATATATATATATATATATATATATATATATATATATATATATATATATATATATATATATATATATATATATATATATATATATATATATATATATATATATATATATATATATATATATATATATATATATATATATATATATATATATATATATATATATATATATATATAGTCAATTGAAACTGTGAAATATTATAAACATATTATAACAAAAAAGGCTGTATTTCAAAACAGGATATCTTGATCTAGTCAAAGGCGAATGGAATAAAAATTGACACAACGATAAAACACCTTATTATACACCGATTGACCCATGTATTTTTAAAAATTGTGAAAATTACTCTTTTTATTGCAAATTTTATAGCAATAACTTTTTATTTAACCAAATGTAAGAAAAACCCATGGGTCAACCGGAGCATCAACAATAAATAAACATTTCCTGAAAATTCCAGCTCTTAAAACTAAATTTTACTTAAGTTATCATGTTTTGAATTTTAAAAAATGCTAAAAAATCTATCATGCAAAAAAACAAGAAATAAAAAAGAATACATCATTTTGAATTGTTTAATAAATATTTATAATAAACTATTTAATAAAATTTTTGACTTCTATCAATGCAGTTTAGATCGGGTAAAACAAAAACAATTCTTTCTTGATGATTTTATGCTTTCATCTTAAAATTGCTCTTAAAAACGTCTTCCAAACAAAGTTAAAAACTTGTTGCTATAAGCTTGCTTGAGAGTTTTATATAATAGTGGGGCTCAAGTAGGTCAAAATACAGGTATATTTAAAAAGAATGTTGAAAGTTTTTCTAAAAAGTCAACCTAAAGGGTCAATCTTTCATAATATTAAAGAAAAAAAAAATTTTTTTTTGTCATTTTTCTTCCTGGTGTACCACCTTAAAAGACGTTAAAAAGACATTTTAAATATATTTAAAACTTTAAAAAACAAAGTCAGCTGGGAAGAGCAACAAGTTGATCTAATATTTTTTAGCTATTCTTAGCTAAATTAAAATTGATAAGAAATTGTAAATTTTTCTAAAATAATTTCATAAACAAAACTAATTCTTCTTTATATAATTTCGTTTCTGTTTGAACACCAGAAAATAATATAACCATTTAATTTAGGCAGTTGATATAAGATGGGGGAGCTTCCCCCTCCCCACACGCGTCTCAATTAGGTTAGCTGACGCCCCAAAAAATTTACCGCAGTGGTTAACGCGCTTGCATCAGAAGCTAGAGGTCCGTGGTTCAACGCCACCTCTGGGCAATTCTTATAACATCAGTAAAAAAGGAGGCGTAAACTTTCTTTCAAATGCTCTTCTGCAGTGCTCTGTAATAAGAACCCAAGGACTATTTAGGGCACCTAAAAAAAAATTTAAAAATATTTTGACTTTTGGTGTATCAAAATTACTGGGACTGTTTAGTCACAGATTTTTCATAAAACTACAATGGTTTGTAAACGGTAAACAATACATAAAAGTACATAAAAACACATATGATTTTTTTTTATGTGTTAAAAATGTTTTATGCAAGAACCCATATGGCTCTTCCTCCCCATTTGAAACCTACTCGCACCAGTCCTTTTTTCAAAGTGAATGCATCAGTGTCTCCAGCAATGACGACTGAGCTACAAACGAAAGACCTACATCCATTCTTAACAGAGAAATAGATGACATCATATTTTCCTAACTTGTCTATTCTCTACAAAATCGATTTGATTTTTCCTTATCTGTTTATGATGAAAAAAGTTTCAATAGACTAAAGATTATCAAAAATTATCTGTGATCAACAATGATAAAACAATGCCTTCTTTTTACATTAATTTTAACAAATTTGAGCTTGCTGAAAACATTGACTTTAAAGACGGCTACATACGTCCGTAAGACGTCTATACAACGCCTTCTAGACATCACGTGTCAGTATAATATTCATAAGACGTCCAACGTTCAGTACCCGATGTAAATGAAATTTCGTAGAAAAATATTGTATAAAATAGCAGAAAAGTAAATTTCTTTTTAAATGCTTACAGTAATAGGTAGAGTCTAAATATTTTTAAATAATCATTAAAATAATATTTAATGTTTTTTTTTAAACGATAATTGTTAACCAAAGTATACTCAAAATTTAAATTGCCTAAAAGTGTCTTAGATGTACTTAAAAGCTATGATAAATGACACATAAAAGCATCAGTAAAATATATTTATCACAAATGCAAAAAAAATGTTTACATGGGTTAATGTGTCTCCCCCAACCCCTGTAGCCTCCACTCATTTCTCTAACCCCCTGCCTCACATCGCTAAATCTCAGAAGTAACGCTAAATAAATGTAGTAATTTTGGTCTTCACCCAAGACTTCAAAAATCATCTAAAATGTGCCTAACAAAAACGCACCTGCAGCAAAAAATTAAAGGACTAATTTTGCACCCAAATGGGGTATTCCGTATTCTTTTGAACACCATTCCACTTGATTTTCTATTCTAATTAAATCCTGTATATATGTAACAAAAGAATTTAAGCTAAAATCATACAATTATGAATATAAATACATTTATGTTCAATAATTATAAGCTAATTTAAAATATAATAGAAAATATTTCAGCTTTTAAAAGGCTTTAATTATTTTCTCGAACCATGGCCGACTAGAATTAAACGGCCAGATTTTTTGCATTTTTCGTAAAAAAAAAAAAAAAATTAATTAGTAAATTGTTATATATAATTGAAAAGATTTCTAATACAGTATTTTAGAGACGAAAAAGTTATAAAAATTGAACAATTCTGCTAAAAGCTTTGAGGTTTTAAGTAACAAATTTTTAATATATGGATTTCTTGAATAAAGTTTAAATTAAGTTTTTCGTAACCTAATTTATTATATTTTTGTTAATTCTAATCAAAACTCAAACAACTTAGTATCAAAAGAAAGATGTAAGAGTGGGCTAAAAATGTATAATATCCTTTAGTAATAAGGCGTAGTCAGGAGGTTAGAGGGGACGCAAAACCTATATAGCCAAAAAAGAAAATTTTTTTAAAACTAAATAGCTTTTTTTAACAAAACTTGTAATTTTAATATAGAAAAAATTTTTTAATTTGCTCCTAAATTATTGCATTAAACTAAAAATACATACCTTTCATAGTTTTCTACCAACAATTTTCTAATATACATACTAAATTAGACAACTAAATCATCAAGTTGCTGCGTAGGCAAGTGTTTATGTAAACTTCCTATTTTACTGTTTGTTAAAACACGCAATGCTTGCTCTAACCTTTTTTTTTTTTAATCAATACATTTGGCGTTTGCCAAATGTCTGTCTTAGAAAGTCTCTGCTTAAATTTTAGCATGTTTTAATCAATTTTTCATTCGTTTTTTATAGGCTGAGTAAATTGATCATGAAATAAAATTTTCTCGAGATAATTGGTAAAGACTATCCAGATAAACAAATGTCCTATTTTATCGTAATTTGAAAGATATATACCAAAGTGTTGCAATAGACGATCTTACTTTTGCTTTACTAAACATACCCATTAACTCTTTACTACCTATGTTCTCTTCACTACCTATGTTCTGAAACTCTTCATTACCTATGAACTCTTCACTATCTATGTTCTGAAGTCTCACGTTTGCTGTCTCTTCTTTAAATGTCTCAGTAATTGTAATGGAGAAATATCTCTTACGAAATCAATTTAAAACATCTTCCAGTGCAATAAGACAAGAAGAAAAAATGTCGATAGCCGTCAATGAAGAACAAATTTGTTAAAGATCCAAAAATGTTTGAAATAGGAGGAATTTTCTTCTTATTTTCAAAAAAATTAGTTGTTCTTTGAAACAGTGCACCTGGATTATATTTTTAATTTTTAAGTGTTTGAAAAATATCTTATACTTCCTAGATACTGGCACCATGGTCAAAACTTTCATTTTCTGCTGATACATAGAATACTTGCATCCAGGGTCAGGTAAGAAGTTTTCCAAATACTACCTGCACACATATTTTTTAATGGCGGTTGTATTACAAAAAGCTGTGCGCAGTAGACTTTGTGCGCAATAGAGTTTGTGCACAGTAGACTTTGCAAACTTTGACATTTTACTGTTTTGACAGTGAAAAAAAAATGCTTAAACTCATAATAGTTATTAATAAAAAGAAAACAAGTATAGAACAATATGTGAAGATGGTTGCCACTATACCTTGGAATGATACATCGTGGTAGTTAAAGTCCAAAAACTAAAAAACTCTTTTGGATCACCTTTGACGTCTTTAAACCTCATTTTGTTCATAGTCAAAAAATTTTAACTGATATACAATCATTATCAAATAACTCACAACTTTCAGATTTTAGAGATTTTAATGCTGAACAACGTGGCAACTTTGTCAAAAGGGTGCAAGTAACACTTTAGCTCATTTAGATTTTTACCCCATTTTTCGCAAATTTTGGTTAAAGTGAGATGGTTTATTGCAATTCTGTTTAACATTGTGTTGGATATATTTGAGATGATCAAATTACAACATTCCTCAAAGGAGAATAAGTGGAAATTTGATTAAAATGAAGTCATATGATCTACTGGCTTTAATATATAGTTTTTATAACTATAGGCTATCCCTCCTAGTAACTGGTCAAAAGTAACGACCTTACATTTATTCTTTAATGTTAGCTGAACAGTTTTCATAAGAACACCTTCTTGCGTGGCCCCAAACTCAAGAGTAAGTTTACTATTACCAATTCACTCTGCTGCTTTCAGGTCTTATATACTGCCAAGCTCACAGGCTATTTGCTCAACAGTACTGCGCTG